ACCACTGTCGTCACGGTTGCCTTTTGGTAGATAGAGGCATGCAAAGGACCTGCCAGTTAGTTTTTCCAAATCCAGAGGAATGAAACATCTTCTGTTTGGCAGGCTAGTCTGAGACTGGCTATCAGACTGGATTTTATACGTGGTAGTACAACACATCTGGGGCTTACAGTATTTGTGAACTTGGAACAGGTTACAAACGGACCCCCAGTGTGATGTTGACACATGAAGGTCGGCAGCAGCCTGTCCAGCTGGGCTTAGCGATGGCAGTTCCCTGCTTCTGGGCTGGGTTCTCCAGGCTGTCCAAGGCGGATGGTTGCTTACTCCCTAGTGAGGAGGTAGAACACCAGAAAATCTGGGTCTTGGTTGAGTGCACTTCCCCTTGCTGCAGGACCCCGACTCTTGGCTGCCACACCTTGCACTGTCCCTTGGCTGTATCCTTCCTCACAGCGGACATTCAGTAGCTCACAAAACAGCTGTTTCTTCCTTTCACCTCTATCCAGAATCCCAGAAACTCTACTTAAATGTGCTGTAAGAACATGGAACAGTCATTCATATCCTAGGTATATGTTTCAATTAACTTCTTTTTTCTTACAGGATTCTAAAGGCACTGTGATAAAATTCTGTGATCTCCTTCTATATGTTCAAATAAATAAATTTCCTCGGTTTTGTTAGTTGTGTTGATATTTTTGTGACCAAGCATGGTCTACTGAATATGGGCTTGGGGTTGCATAAATTGCTGAACAGCACCCATTTTCTTATCCAATCCCTACACACAGTTTGTTTTCGGGAGATCTTGTCTGGGGACCTGGAAAATGGGAAGGCGATATTAGTAGTCATTCTCCCTGTAATCTAATGATCTGAATTTTGTTCTACAGCTTGATGACTGCACCCTGCAATTGTCTCACAACGGTACCTATCTGGATCTAGAATCCACCCTAGCAGAACAAAGAGATGAATTGGAAGGCTTCCAGGAGGATGCTGGGTAAGTAAATGTTTACTAAATTTAGATAAATAAGCATATTTGTCCAAAGTCATTGATGTTTTGGGAGTGTGTGTGGTTAACTTGGTATGTTCAGGTCAGCATAGGAACAGAAAAGATAAAATTCTTTCCTTTGTAAGCACATATGTCTCCTCCTTTCTGTGATAAAGAATTTTATGACTTTTCTATCTACATTCACTCTTACAGTTTCTCTAAAAGCAGATGGCACTGTAAGAAATCTATCAAGCTGGATTTCTTGTCTAGTACATTTCTATAGTTCTTTGGAACTTGATAAATGAGGGTGGTTGGTTCTGAGAACTCCGAGATCTTACACGATAATAGTTGCTGTAGAAGATTATATTGGGGTGGTACTCCTGAAGTTTTAAACTCAGTTTCTTTGTGTCTTGAGACTTAAGTACTCCTTTTTCTCGAAGAAAAGACCTGTATTGATTGAGGTGGTTTTTTTCGTGTTTCTTTGTTTGTTTGGGGTTTTTTTTTTTTAACTCCTGGAATTCATTTAGCCAGTCCAGGAGGTGTGTGTAGTGGTGGTGTTTTTCAAATAGTGTCCTCTCTTTTTTTTCTTTTTTTTTTTTTATTATTCCTGCACACATGGATTGATACGACACAGCTTTCCATAAACCATCTCTGAGAACTGAAAGTGAAAACAAAAGTTAGCATCAATGTGTGTCTGTGTGAATGCATGTATAAAATTTGCTTTTAAGAAGAATTTTTTTCAGGGCATTTTAGGTGATTGTCTTGTTCAAGATCTAAAAGGAATAGGCAGTCTAGAGCTATTTTTGCCTTGCTGGTTGCTATATTGGACTGGATAGTTGTAATTAATTTTATGGGTGCGTTTTGGCGTAGACTTCATGCATGTGAGTAATGTAGCTGTGCCAGAAGGAAATTAACTACATTCTGAATTGGTCAGGGCTTGTTAACATTAAGAGTTGCAGCCCTTTTGCTTATACTGGTTTCTCTACTTTTTGTGTTAGCTGTCTTGTCTTTGTTTGATTATTTCTTACGAATTTAAACTGTGCTTCTGAAGATTATTTTATTTGGAGAAGAACTGTAAATAATATGTTATAGATATTCATGTGCATGCATTTGTGTATGTCGTCTTCATATGTTACCAGTTTTTGGTCATGTTTTTGTAACTATTGGAGGATAAAGAAACTCTTCTGTTAGAAGTTGTTAGTTAAAGTTAAATTAGTTAGAAGTTCTCCAATACACAGACTAGCCAATACAGCTGAACTGAACCTCCCTTCCTATGCAATAGGAGTGTTGAGTATAGAAGTTGATCTAGTCTTCAGTTTTATGCAGAAGTGATAAAAATTGCTGCAAAGAACAGCAAGTTCTTATATCCAATGAACTTTATAATTAGTTGAAAGTAAGATGAAGGAAAAACTTTCTCTTTTGATAGTTTTTTGTAGTACTATGCATGAGTTGTTAATGCATGCTTTCTTTTCCATTGATGTCTCCGTGATAATTCTAGTAATTTTAACTTCATTGCCTTTGAGACCCCACAATGGCATTCCTGAGCAATTTGGCAAGCCAGAGACTGGTTGGTGCTTTTCTTGCTAGGCTTTACACTGGAAATGGCAAGCTACCTTCCACCTTGCTTTAATTTCTGCTTCCTTTGGGGACATAAAATCAATTATATGAATTGTTCCTGAATTCCTGGTTCTAATTTTCTCTGTGATGGTGGCATCCTACAAAAAATACCAAAACATGTGGAACTAACTGTGCTGCTTGGAATTGCATGTCTACAGTGGTGTTTTGAGCTCAAAAATCAGGTTATGTTTTTGTGTACTTTGCATGTGTGTGCAGGCCTCCTCTTAATTGTGTAACCTATTGTCAGTTGAGTAATTGCTTCTTCCAATGGCTTGTCCTGCCAGGAAATGTCAAGTCTGCTGGGAGGTCCTTCATTCCTCTGCAAAAATGGATAGGGAGGTATGAAACTGGGTGTATTAAGGTGCATCACAAATGCTTAGGCTACAAATTATTATCGTACTTACACTTTGAAATGGGTTTTGTGACATGAAAGAGATCAACTTCGCTGTCTTCTGGTGTCATGTGTGTAGCCCTCACCTTCACTGGTCTTTGCCATGCTCTCTGAAATTGTCCCTTTGGTAATTGTGGGTCAGTAGGAAGTGCCATGTTTTTATGTTTCAGCTGCCTGCCTTAGGTGCAACACCAGGGCTGGCTCTCGGGTGCTGCCACTGTCGCTGTTGCGACCCATCTTTCTTTGTCTTCCCACTGCAGTCCCTCTTCAGAACATGCTTTCTTACCTTTATGATAAATTATGCAGGCAGTAGTAGTTGCAAAAGGCTGAAGTGGTGAGAATGGAGGGAAGAATGGGGGGATGTGTTGGGGAGTAAATCGGCGAGTAAACCACAGATGAGCACAAAAAGACGCATGTGCCCTGCTGCAGAGGGGAGAGGGGATGATTGCCTGAGGGGATGCTCCCCCTTAGCAGCTCTTCTGAGGTGCCCGTAGGTACAAGGGGTATACTTCCCTTGGATAATCCTGGTTTGTGATTAACCTGCAGTGCTCCCTAAGGACACGGGTGCTGTGCTTTAACTCGATTGTTGTGAGGTTGAGGGTTTTTGGTTCCATCTCCTGTACATGCACCCCTCCAGTAACTTGCAGGTCGGAGCCCTAAAATCCTAGCATTTCGCTCTGCTGCAGTGGGATGCAGCTCAGTCAAGTACAAAACCTTGCATGTAGGAGTAATTGGCTAGAGGACAAGCAGGTACTGGTCAGGCAGAAAATGAAGAAAGGGGAACACCTGACTTGTCAGCAGCTTGGCAGGAAAGGATCTGATGTTTTTGGGAATGGTGAGCTAAAAGCAATTCGGTGACTAGGGTGCTGTGAAAAAGGTAAGGGGCATTCTAGGGTATAAAGCAGGAATTTAGCCAGTGAAATGCAATGAACTTGGTATCTTCAGTACTAGTGAGGCTTCTGCTGGATTTCTACATCCCATTTTTGTCCACATTTGAAGAGAGAATAGGAGGATGATAAACAAGAACAACCAGAACTTTAGGAACCTGTCAAACCTGTATGTTTGGTAATATCATCACTTCAGAGAAAATGTACCTTGTGTGTTGTTATCCAGAAAAAAGGAATATTTTGGACATAGGGTAGCAAATGCAGTCAGGAATGTGTCCCCCCATCCCAGGTTTCTACCAAACTAAACTCTGTCTTTGGGCCTTGCAGCTCTGATCTTCTGCCCCTGCAGAGACCAAGGCACTGAGCTGCAGTGCTCCTGCGCGGGAGCTGCTGGCTGTGGACATTGAGGGCTTAGCAGCCTGCTGTCTGGGAGGGACTGGCCGCAGAAACCACTTAGTCTCTCTCTTTCTCTCTGGGTCATTTCAAGGTCCTGCTCTTAATCTTCAAAGCTTTTAATTTTCTGAGATTAGGCTACCTCAGGACCTGCCTCTCTGCCATGCCCAGGCTGCTGTGCTTATCAGGGTCACTGGAGCTTGCTGAACTCTGAATGAAGGATTTAGTAGTGGGATATTCATGGCATTTTTAAAATTTCAGATCCTAAACTGTGGAAACTCCTATTAAGAGTGACTGGAATGTCCTGCAATCTGGCTGTTTTCAGCATCTTTTTGCCAAATGTTCCTGTTTGCCCAGGCAAAACTGTGAAGATTTTTTTTTTTTTCTCTCTAAACATACTGCTGAAAGGAGACATAAATAAATAAAACATGCAGGAAACACAACCTTACAAATTTTTAGTGGTGCGAGGGGCTGCAGATATCTGTTTTCTCTTGGAAGGATTGGATGAGCGCAGTGAAAAATTAGGAAGTTTTTTCTTCAAGAGGAAAGCGGGCGATGGTAGCAGTTAGGCTGGCAGTTTATGATGTGTAAGTAACAGGCATGAGAAACATGCACTTACACACAGTTTCAAATGAGTCCTCTTCCGTTACTGAATATAATGAAAAGAGGGTTTTGGTAGTTGCTACCCACTCCAGCAGAATCTAAACTTCTGTTTAGGGCAGGAGAAAACCCAACACGTATGTCATCTTGGCCTGTAGGGCTAACTGAGCAAAACGTGGACAGGGTTGCTGTCCTGTGTCTACAACTCTCTGCTGCCATTTGCACCTTCGGGGATAGCTGTCGGATTCAGGAGAATTGGATGGTTTCTATATGTTAGGGGTTTTTTGGGGGGACAGTCAGGATGAACAGCTGGCCAAGCAATGATGCTGGCCCTGCGGAAAGCGTCACGACCAGGAAAAGGGGCAATAAGAGCACACAGGAAAGCTGCTTTTCTTTTCAAGTCTGGTATTTATTCATGATTTGTTTGCTTGTTGGTTTTGTGGTGTTTTGGTTATTCCCAACACAAGTTACTTTATGGATGCTTAATTGTGTGAGGAGGTAATGTGGAGGTAGTTCAGGTGGTTTGGCTGTTTTATTAAGGTGCTTGTGACAAGTAATGCTCTTTTCCTTTGTTTACTTGTGATTTTATATAGTGAGCAAGAATTGCCAAGAAGTTTATATGTTTAAATTATCATATTATTGCCCAATTTCTTTTTATGGGCACATCTTAACAGGCCCTATAATGGTAGACCACAAGGTAACACAGTCTTAAACTATGGAACACAGAAGCTTCTTCAGACAGCACGCTGTGATCAATGGAGATTTCCTCAGGGAATACATTTTTCAAGACATCTGTTCAGCAGATAGATTGTTTTAAAGTACTTCTGACAAATCACTTCAGCGCTGATGTGTTTGCATTCCTTCTAGACACTCTCTCCCAAGCCGTTTTTGCTGGGTGAGTCCCGTTTAAGTTGGAGGCCAGACGTTTCCCATCTTGATGCTGCTTTCTGAGCTTGATTCACAGTCTGTTGAGGGCAATGGAGCCTGGCATGGATCTTTAATAGTATTTTCCTGCTTTTTTTTTTTCCCCTACTGTATTTTTTTGCTGTTTTTTTTTTTTTTTTCCTACTGTATTTTTTTGCCAGCTTAGACTTTGTGATTAGCACAATTGTGAGAATGAA